ACAAAGTCTGTTTCTAATGAAGGAGTGGGGGGGGGGGGGGGGGGGGGTCTCGGCTGCTAGAAGGCTAGTCACACTGGCGTCCGGATGGTGGGAGCTGCCCCGCTGCTTGGCCTCATGCGTGTCCTTTGCTTACAGTGCTGTGGACAGCGGCAGGGCTGGGAGACACTGCCTAGACGGAGCGGCTGAGTGAAGGAGTCTGTCATCATGAACGACGTGGCCATTGTGAAGGAGGGCTGGCTGCACAAGCGAGGTCAGTGGGGGACCTGGGGGGTCGGGAACTGGACTGTGGTCTGACCAGGGCCCCACGGGTTGTTGTGGATGATCTTCCTGGACCCAGTCTAACGAACCGGTCTCGTGGGGCACAGCTGGGACTCTGGAGGCCCCGTGGGAGGGGGCTGTGAGGCCCTGCATGCCGTGTAGCTGGGCAGGACACCCGCTGAGTGGCCGCCTGGCTGGGGCCACTGCCAGCTTCCCTCCCGCCGTTCCTGGAAGGCCCTGACACGGGCCCTTTCCAAGGCCGGGCAGGCAGCCGCCCGGGGCACTGCCCGAGGGCTCCTGAGGGCAGGGCAGGGCAGGGCAGGGCTGTCTGACTTGGCCCAGTGCTTGTCCCAGGCCTGGGGGGGGTGGGGCAGATGCAGGGTGGGCATGTTCTGGAGGTGACTGACTAGGCCTGGTGCCCAAATCCCTGTCCCTCTCCTTTCCTTATCGTGTGGACCCAAGGCAAGGCAGGGAGCTGGACCTGGGCCCTGCCCTGTCCCCTCTGTTCCAAGGGGAGGCACTAGCAGGATGGACTGGCTGGTCTGCTTTGTGTCCAGGTACTCCCCCCCACAACTTCCTCTTTCTCCAGACCTGCCCCTTCCTGTCAGTCCGTGCTCTTCAGGGAGGCTCCCAAGAGCTCCCTAGGCCTGGGGTCCTCAAATACACCGGGGTTTTGCAGGATGCATAGGAGCCCGCAGCAGAGCCAGTCTGAGAATCTGTAGGAGCTGGGGTGGCCTTGGACGGCATGAACCGGGGGCGTTAAGGATGTGGTCAGTTGTGTTTAGAGTTTGTTTTGACCACTGCAGGGAGGCGGGCTCCCCAGACTCTGAGACAGAGGTGAGGAGGCTGCAGTGCTGTGGTCCGGGGATGCCCTACACCTGGCGTCTCCCAGGGCCTCCTACACCTGCCTGATTCTCCACCCCTCCCCCACTGCCTCTTCTCACAGCCCCTTTTTGATGTGAGAGAGCCCCTTGGTTCTACCATTCTCTGAAGCAGTCTGCTGCCTGAGGCCTGTAGCTCTTGGCAAATGTTTCTTGATTGACTATCAGACCTAGGGTTAACTAATAGGAGAAGCTGGACGTCAGGACTGCCCAGAGTGGGGAACTCCAGCTGGCCCTCATTGTGTGGACAGTGCCCAGAGAGCTATATTGAAGCTGTTATGTCCCCGTGTTCTTCTCAGGAGCAGCTTGGTGGTACTCTTTGGGTCTCAGTTTCCTGAGGGAACGTGAAGTGAGTGGAGATCTGGTTTGTGGCTCAGCTTCCTCGGGTCGGGCTGCTGTGTGGGCCCAGGGGAGGTTTGTGGGGCGGCTGGCTGCCACTGATGGGTGTGTAGGCCACTTGAGCCCGGCGAGTGTCTCAGGTGCCCTGGGTCCCTTCCCCAGTGAACCTGGGGCCCACCCACTTGCCCTGCATTCTCCTATAATTGCTCCTCTTCACTCCTTATGTGTCCGCATGTTCGTCCTCTGGTCATGTGACCCACGAATGCCAGAGTCTCTCCTGTGGGCTGCGCCTGGGGTGCCTGGTGGGGAGACAGTATCATCAAATGCGCCCGAGACAACATGGTGCTGTCCCGGCTTAGTGCACAGTGGGCTGGCCGGGGAGGGCCTCTTGCAGTTGTGGTGGCCGCTGGTGACCACTGGGTGGAGGCAGTGGTCATGCTGGGCAAGGCATTCAGAGAGGGGTGGGCCTGCATTAGCTATTGGGGGTGGGCTGTGGGTGGGTGGAGGCAATGTCAGGCTCAGAGGTCCGGCATGGGCCTGTCAGGCACCTGTGCACACCTGGGCGGGGTCTGAGCCCCAGGTGGGAGTTAGGGCAGGTTGGCAGTGTTTGTAGGCAATCCTCGCTTTTGCTCCCAGCCTTTCTACCTGGTGGCAGACTCTGTAGGGTTGGGCCGAGTGGGGCCGCCTCACTGTGCTTCCTCCTGCCCTGTGGAGCCATTCCAGAAAGTTCTGCCGCAGTGCCCTGCCCCCACCCTTGATGAGAGCCTGGTGGCACTTCGGCCCCACAGACCCTTCCTGGGGAAAGCAGAGGGAATGTGCAGGGGACTCGTGGTCCTCAGAGCGGGCCGTGTGGCTTCCTGTGGGGATGACCCCCAGGCAGATTGGGGGGACCCCCTGGACTGGTCAGAGCGTGCTTGGGAAGGTCAGCCCCCCTCGCAGAGCCCCAAGGGTCCCCGTGTCACCCCTGGGCCTCTCTTGTTTCCTGTTTGGTGATGGTCTGACCTCTCCCTTCAAAAACAAACAACGAAAGAGGAAGTTCCGACACCCTGACCCAGGGGCTGGGGGTCACACTCACCACTCCGCCTTCCCCTACTTTGGGGGCCCAACCCGCAGCCCCCCTGCTTCATACCAGAGCCTCCCTGGGGCAGGGGAGTGCTGGATTCTGATGGGTGGTCTCCAGCAGGGGAGCAGCTGGGTGGCCCGGGACAGCTCGGCCTTCGTGGCCAGGCGCTCACTGCACAAGGGAAACCGAGGTTTGGGGGAGGTGGCACTGTGACCCCACGGCTCCAGGAAGGCCCAGCTGGTTGCATCAGGCAGTTCCTAGAAGGGCTGAGGGAAGGTGGGAGGACCCTGGCCCCACTGCCGCTGGCATCCCTCTGCCTGGCACACCACCCCAGGACCTTCCGCCACCTAGCCGGACGTCGGACGCTCTGTGCCCACTCCCTACCATTCCTGGTGGCCTCTGGTTGGGGTGGAAGCTGTGGCTCCAGCGTCTGAGGGTGATGGCCACCAAGTCCCCCAGGCCAGCCCTGCTGTCCTGCCCACTGCGGCCTTGCCCACCCACCCATGGATGCTCCTTCCAGCTGCCCGTTTATAACAGCTGTATGTTAGGTATTAGGCCGCTAACCTCAAAGTCAGCAGTTGAAACCCACCAGCTGCTCTGCATGAGGAAAATGAGGCTGTCTGATCCTGTAAAGATTTACAGCTTTGGAAATTCTATGGTGTCGGTGTGGGCCAGACCCAAACTGATGGCGGTGGATCTTGTATGCTGTATTGAGGCAGAACTCACGTAGCAGATGGCCATCTCTGTAAAAGAGTGTGCTTCGGGGTTTTTGTGTGTTTGCTGGTCTTGGGCTGTTTTTGGCTCCTTAAAGGGGAAGCTGGGCCCCTCCAGCTGCGGTTCCTTCTGCCCCCACCACCATCCCCCACTCGCCCCTTCTGTCTGCTGGACTCTTACAAGTGGAGGTCGAGAAATCTCAGACGAGAGAGTCCAGAAGTGCTGGAATGGGGGATCAGGTCAAGACAGGGGACTTCCGAGTGTGGGACCTTTGGGTGGGATGCAGCAGGCCGGAGAGCAGGCTAGGTCCGCTTCTTAGCAGCTGACTTGACTGGTTTGGTGCAGAGGAGCTTCCAGCTGGCGGGGGGCAGGCTGGTGTCCGCCTTATAGTAGGCCCTGGGTGTGAGCTCTGCCAAGAGCTGGGTTTGGGGAGCTGTGGGAGCATGTGGACTGGTGTGGATGGGGGATGCAGGTGCCAGAAGGGAATGGGTTCAGAGAGCGATCGAGTCCCCAGCCAGGCACCCGCTGCCCCTCTCATGCTAACCCCTCTGGGAGTCGCTGCAAGCTGGGGCAAAAACTAATCAGCAGTGGGCCAGGCTCTGAGGTCAGCGGCCACTTTCTGGGACTGGCTGCTTCTCACGGACTGGTGTGGGGCGCAGGAGTGTCTCCTGAGGGCATCCAGTGGCATGTAGCCCAGCGGACTTCTCCTGACCAGCACAGGGGGACAGGGACCAGTGTGACCACCAGGGTTTGCAGCGGGGTGGAGGGGGTGGGATGACTTAGCACGGCCTGGATTTCTGCTCCACGTTGGCCCCGCAGGGTGAGCCCCCATGGTGCTCTCCTGTCCCATGCCTCATGCTGGGGTCTGGACACAGGACTGCCTCACGGCTGGGCCTGCTTCAGCCTGGACCCTCCCATCACGGCCCCTCTTGGACCCACTTCTGCCCAGAAACAACAGCTCCTTTGGCTTTGCTTGGGTCTCAGCTGAGGGTTTAGGGTAAGCGGTATCACCTAGGGAAATGTTCTGGAAACTTATGTTGGACAGTCTAGGAGGACTGGTCAGAATAGTTCCCTGCCCTGGTGACCGACAGGATGGCCCTCTGTTCACACCCTGCAGGGACTCCGTGGGCATGAAGATAACCTTGGGTCCCCCGGGCAGCCTCTCCTCATGGCAGGATGGGGCTGCCGCTGCCACACCTGGTCCCGTCTTTCGAAACCCGGCTCCACAGAGCCTCACCAGCAGCAGCCACCGAGCCATAATGGGCTGCCTGAGTGAATGGCCCAGATACACGCCAGGTGGGGAGGACAGGTGTGGTGGGGACGAGAAGGACCCCATAGGCAGCTGGCAGGGGGCTGCCCACCTTGAGGAAGTGACCTTGGTGGTGGGCGGAGGACAACAGGACGCTGGCGTAATGAGAGCACTTGGGGCAGAGTGTCTATGGACTCTATGGCCGGTCAAGCAGGGCTGGAGTGGGTCAGTGTTGGGATCAAGAAATGTTTGGGATGGTGTGGAGCCGGGAGAGGGGAGAGACAGCCCCTGACTGCATGTGTGTGGCCCACTCACAGTCCCAGTCAGCTATTCGTGCCCACCCCATGAAAAGCCACACTCCCCCCTCCCCGAGGAACAGGTTGGCGGCATCCACCCCTTGGAGACCTGGGAGACCCCTGCTCCTTGCCCCCTATCCCAGCCCTCCCTCAGGGGATTTGAGGGCTTCCTTAATGTTGTGGGAGTGGAGGATGGCCCCGTGCCTTGGCGGGTGGCAAGGGTGCAGACCCAGGCTGTCCTGGAGGTGACCGTGGCCAGTGCATCCCGGCGGTGGAGGGGAGGTTGCCCGTCAGCAAGGCTGTTTGCTCAGTGTGCCAGGGAAGGTAAATGCAAGCCGGCAGCTGTCGGTGGGATGGATGTGCAGGAGGCAGGGGACCAAGTGGTGGCCCCCGTCAGCTGGTGCCCGCGCCCCGAGCCTGCTGGGGCTCACTTGCTGTGGAGAAGCAGCTCGGTGCCTGCCGCCTGGAGTCCTGCCAGCCCACACCACCACCGCTGCGGCAGAGTGTTTATCTAGCATGACCCCCTGAAAGAGAGGCCTGGAGCGGGATGAGGCTGTGCCCCACGTCTTTGGCGGTGTCCCCCAGAGCCCCAGCTTCCATCTGGGAGTCTGTGGTGGTGGTTCCACAGAATGACCTGTCCCCCTCCCCTTCCTCACTGCCCTCCTTGCCTGAGCCCTTCCTCCTGGCGCTGTTCTACCCACCTGGGACTTCTGACAAGTCCCCCACCCCACCCCCACCCCCGCTGTCTTGGAGTGGGCCCCTCGCCTCCCCTCCTCAGCTCTCCTGTTCACCCACCCCCAGTGCCCTTGCCCTGCACCAGCCATGGGGCAGGAAGGCACCTAGACCCTCACCTCCACAGACCCTTATCCCCTGGCACCTGACCACAGAGCCGGCATGTATGCAGCCTGACGTGTGCTTGTGAGCAGGGGGCAGTGTCTGGCCCAGGGAAGTGGGGTCCTGGGTGCTGATTCAAGTTCCTCCTTTATCCTCTGCCAAGGTTGTACCCGAGCTGGGGGTGCTGTGGGGCAGGCACACCCCATATTTGGTGGTGTGCCTGTGGCCAGCAGGGAGACACTGGACTGGTGGCGTGGACACCCAGCATGAGCGCCTCGTACTTCTGGGGGCACTAAGGGTGGGGACAGACCCACAAGGTCTGTTTTGAGGCCAGAGTTCATCGCCTTAGGATTGGCCCCTTAGACCTGGGCTTCACTCAGCTGTGTCTGCTGGCCCACTGCCCCCATGCCAAGGGCCCAGTGGTGAGCAGGTGCTGACCCACCAACGCCAGCACTACCTGTCCTGGAAGGAGTAGGGCAGCAGGGATGGGAGCGGCCTGGGACCTTGTGTCCTGTCTGGGTGGACGCATTAGGATGCAGGCCACAGCCCAGGTCCCAGCTGACTGTGCTGGAGGTCACCAAGTGACCCAGTGGGCCCACCACTTGGGGTGACCTCTGTGGTGGGAGCAAGGAGACCTGGTGGGGGGTTCCCATGTGTCTCTGAGGCCCCCCAGGAAGCCTCCAGCACCTCAGCTTGCCTGGGTGGCACAGTGGGGTCATCATGGACTTGTACCTTCCTATCAGTGGCCCAGGTCTGCATGGTCCTGGGGAGATCACGGAGGAGACCTCCCTTCCTGGGATGCCCCAGCCCACCCTGCCCTATCTCTGGGGCTGAGTTTGGGGGTGGGCATGGGGCACACGAGGGGCTCAGGCCTACCCAGGGTGCTTGTCCCCCATAAGCCCCAGGTCTCTTGTGGTGTGCCGGGCGGGGCCCCTTGCCGGGCATGTGAGTGCAGCCTGCCTGGCTCCGTGGGGGCGGCAGCAGTTGGTAAATCAAGATGGATCTTGCAAGCGGTGCAGCGGCTCATCGCACGCAGTTAGCGTCCTGGGGAGCGGCAGCTGGCGGCAGGGGGGGCACTCCATCAGGGCCGACAGCTCCAGACTGCTGCCAGGCGGGTGGGAGCGTGGGGCGCTGGGCGGCAGCGGGTGGGCGTACGCCCCCAGGAGCACTCTGCTCGCTCCCACCCGGAGTTGCAGCTGCGGGGTGGGGGGCATGGGACCAAGTGGGGGGTGCGCGTTCCCTGACCGGCCGTGTCTGTGCCCTGGGCCTCGATGCTGGTGCAGTATGCAGTTGGTGACAAGCCAGGAGCCCCTGTACCCTCGCCTCCCCTGGAAGGTCACCGTGAGCCCAACTTCACTGCAGGTGGGCACCTCTGTTTCCAGGCCACACCCGGACCTGTGGATTGGGGCTGGCTCTGTGCCACCTCCTTGCACCGCCCATCTCCCACCAGTGCTGACCTTCCCGGGCACAAATGTGGGTAGTGGAGCCCCATCTCTCAGCACCCCCAGCTCGGTCTTTTGAAGGAAGACTTTGGGGGCTACACCAGAGGTGCTCTGATGGCGGGCTGGGCAGTGGGGGCTGGCAGGGAATGGAGGTCTCTGGACCAAGTGGCTTTAGTCTTTGTTGGGCTCGGTGGTGAGGTGATGGAGCTGGGGGGCAGGTCCCAGGGGGTGTGGCTGCAGAGGACCTGAGGGTCCCACAGGAGAGGGCGCCTAGGGTTACACATGACCTCTTGCCTTAGGGGAGCAGGTTGTGGGGACACTTTGCTTGCTGGGAAGTGACTGGCCATCCTGGGACCCCAGGACCCCCTACTCTAACCTGGGACTTCCCTTCATTGGTGGGGGGAGATGGGAGGTGGGCTCACCACGAGGCCCAGGTTGAGCCCCCAATCTCGAGCCCCTCCACCCAATGGCCCCTGTGACAAAGCCGGCTCTAATTAGAAGTTCCTGTTGTTCAAAGTCCTTGCTCGGCAAAATGTAAATGGAACATTTTTTCTGGGTGTCAGTATGAAAAATGACGGTCTCTGGAACATCACAGAGGGACATCTGCTCCGATCCCTGGGTGTGAATGCCTGTTTACGGCTGATGTTGCAAAACTTCGGGGAAAACTTTCCTTCGTACCTGGTAGCGCGGGTGGGACACCACGCAGCCCCCAGCCCAGTCCTAGCGAGTGACCGTTTGCCCTTGGTGTCTCGGTGCTAGGGGCCTGCTGTGGGGCTGTTGGAGAGTTCTAGACCTCCCAGGGCTAGCTGGGTTTCGGGCCGTGCTGCTGAAAGGCTCAGGGTGGGTCCATCTTCTTTCTTCTACCAGCCTGGGCCCTTCCCCCCGGGACTTGGGAGGCTCTGCAGGCCACCTGTGTCCAGCTGCCCGCCTTGGGCCAGACTCCTTGGGTTCCGCACTGTCTCTCTCTGGCCTTGGGGAGCATGCTACCCACCCAGCGTGGTTGGGTTTGGCTATTGAGGCACATCTGCCTCTGACTTGGGCTGGTGTGACCAGCTGGTTGACCAGGGGTCTGAGGGAGATGGCTCCTCCCGATCCAACTTACTCCCCACACCCCACCCCAGGTGAGTACATCAAGACCTGGCGGCCACGCTACTTTCTGCTCAAGAATGATGGCACCTTCATCGGCTACAAGGAGCGACCACAGGACGTGGACCAGCGAGAGTCCCCCCTCAACAACTTCTCAGTGGCACGTGAGTGGCCCTGGGCACACTGGTTGGGAGCTAATGAGGGGGCCGGGTAGGCACGTCCCCTCTGGCACTCAGGGTCCACACTATGCCATGTCCTGGTGGGCAGTGCTGACGGGCTGCCCTGGAGCATCTCCCAGTCCCTCTGATGAGAGGCTGGGTTCTGGCCTGTTGACAGATGGACCCAGGGCCCTTCCTCCAGGGGGCAGATGGGGTGGGTAGCAGAGGGGGCATGCAGGAGGGAGGTTCCTGAGCAGGAGGCTCAGGACCACCCAGCATGGCTCCTCAGGGTGGTGGGCCCTGACCCCCACAGAGCTAGCCACAGGGGCATTATCTGGGCAGTCCACCTGTGCCAGGAATGGCTGTATGTGGGAGCCTGCCCTTGAGGCTGCTGGGGGACAGGCTTGGTGACACAGCCTGAGTGGGTGGGGCAGCCTCCCAAGCCTGTCCCCAGCGCCAGGTGGGACTGAGCAGCCATTTGGGGCAGGTGGACTGAGACCACCACCACCCTGGACAACTTGGGCGGGGCTTGCTGGCAGGCAGACCTTGGCCCATCCCGCTGCCATCTGGGTGTGAGCACTGTGGCCCACCCCACCCCACCCCCGAGGTCTGCCAGCTGTGCCGGGCTCTGGGCCTGCAGGGTGTCGGGGGAGAGGAGAAGGGGGCCCTTTAGTGGGAAGCACATTGTATGCACTGGGGGCGCAGAGTTGGCAGAGGCGGTATGTGGGGCTGAGTGGGGGTGCTTTTTCCAGGTTGTAGGGGGCCTGGAGAGGGGGACTGTTGGAACATTCCAGGGAAGGGGGAGACGGTAGAGCTGGGCACCTCAGTGGTGGGCGCCTGTGACCCCATCCATGTACGTGGGGCTTGTATGGGACCCCCAGTGTTAACAGAGGTCCCTCAGCCTTCGAAGGCCCAGGCCAGCCCCTTGTGTGGTTAAGGCTGCCAGGTCTGGATGCTGGGACGTGGGACAACCCGAGTGGGCCACCAGCCCCCAAGTTCCCTGAGGTGGTCCCCACACCTTAGAACTCCAGAGTCCCCTGCTGGTGCCAAGGGCTGGGGTTCCCAACTTCTGCAGCTCTTGGCCCACTGCCCTCCGCTGGGTGGTCACACTAGGGGCTGTGCTGCTGGGAAAGAAAGGACCCCACAGGGCCACCTTGGTGCTAAGGAGGGAACCTTCGGTGGGTGCTAGCATGGAGAGCTCTGCAGGAAGGGAGCAGATGAGCCCACAGGGCCTCGAAACTTCAGAGCAGGGTCCCAACTAGAGCAGGAGTCTCAGCCCCACTTTCTAAGTAGGGGAACTGAGGCTGTGAGCGGGCGGGGATGGGACTTCTGGGATGGGTTGGTTGGATTGCAGGGGCCGTGGGGAGCGGGCAGCTGGGCCAGAGCACCTGTGACTAACGGAGTGAGATGTGGGGACAGGTACTCAGTTAGTTGTGTGATGTCCCCAGAATGCCAGCTGATGAAGACGGAGCGGCCCAGGCCTAACACCTTCATTATCCGCTGTCTGCAGTGGACCACAGTCATTGAGCGTACATTTCATGTGGAGACTCCCGAAGAGAGGTACGGGTGACACTGTGGCTGGCTGGGGGGGCGGGGGGGGGGGGGATGGCTGTTGGGGGGAGGCTGTGAGGAGCCCACTGTAGCTGCTGAGGGTCCTCTGGGGCTCACTGACTACACCCTCAGGGAGGAATGGACCACAGCCATCCAGACAGTGGCAGATGGACTCAAGAAACAGGAGGAGGAGATGATGGACTTCCGGTCAGGCTCACCCAGTGACAATTCGGGGGCTGAGGAGATGGAGGTGTCCCTAGCCAAGCCCAAGCACCGCGTGGTGAGTCCCCGTTTTGGCCTCCGACTAGGCTGGCCACCCCAGGATGCTCCCTTTTCCCATGGACAGAGTCTAGTCAACCTCGAGTCAGATCCCAGTTCGGAAGAGAAGTGGAAGGCGAGGGGTCTCCGTCCCTCCCCCGTCATCTCCCCCATAAGCCTGGGGCAGGCGGGGGCTGGGGAAGGAATGTGCTGGGCTACCCTGACACCGGTGGCCACCTGCTGCCCTGCAGACCATGAACGAGTTCGAGTACCTGAAACTCCTGGGTAAAGGTACCTTCGGGAAGGTGATCCTGGTGAAGGAGAAGGCCACAGGCCGTTACTACGCCATGAAGATCCTGAAGAAGGAAGTCATCGTGGCCAAGGTGGGGGCACCCGGGGGTCTCGGGGTACCTGGGGTCTGGGGGCCAGGCCTTGGCTCAGGCCTGAGCTGTCTTGCAGGACGAGGTGGCGCACACCCTCACCGAGAACCGTGTCCTCCAGAACTCCAGGCACCCGTTCCTGACGGTAAGTACGGCCCTGAAGCAGGCTTCTCCTGAAGCCAGGGGCCTGTAGGGACCAGAGGGCGGTGGGCCCAGGCCACAGCCACCCACAGGGACCTCCTGGGAAGTGTCTGTGGAAAACCCTGCAGGAACCCCAGGGAAGTGGCCACCAGGAGTCCACGTGTCTGCTGGGCTCAGTGGAAGCTTGGTGAGCTGAGGGGCTGCTCCAACACGGGCTTAACCCCAACTGCGGTCCTTTTCCTTCAGGACCAGGCTTCCTGTGGGTGGCTCACAGAGGCAGCCTGGCTGTCAGGGTCTCAGAACCCGAGGAGCCCTCACCCTGGAGCCTGCCTCAGCCCCCAGCCAACTCTGGCTGGGGTACTGTCAGGAATCTGTGAGTGGAGACTGTGGTAGGCCCCACGTGCTGTCTGGACCCTCTGCCTGGGGCCTGGCTGCTCCCCCAAGTCTGTCCTAGCCACATTCCCAACCTGGCTTCCCTTCCAGGCCCTGAAGTACTCCTTCCAGACGCACGACCGCCTCTGCTTCGTCATGGAGTATGCCAACGGGGGTGAGGTAGGGCCCAGTGTCCCCTTCCCTCACACCCGTGTGTGGTACCCAGTCAGGGACATGATGCTCAGGGGCCTGCTCCCTGGAGAGCCTGTCCCACAGCCCTGTCCCACCTCATGGCCCTGGGGTGGTCCCCCTCGGTCGTCCCTCTGCTCTGTGACCATGACTGAGAAACCCCCACCATGACTGAGAAACTGCCACCCATGAAAAAAGTTTCACCCCGGGACCCACCCACTTCTGCAGCTCTTCTTCCACCTGTCCCGAGAGCGCGTGTTCTCTGAGGAGCGGGCCCGCTTCTACGGCGCTGAGATCGTGTCGGCTTTGGACTATCTGCACTCGGAGAAGAACGTGGTCTACAGAGACCTCAAGGTGGGCAGTGAGGGGGCCGAGGGGTACCCGGGCTACCTTAACCTCCAGGTGGGCAGATGGGGCAGTTCAGGGCGCCAGGCTTACCTGTGTCCCCCCACAGCTGGAGAACCTTATGCTGGACAAGGATGGTCACATCAAGATCACAGACTTCGGGCTGTGCAAGGAGGGCATTAAGGACGGTGCCACCATGAAGACCTTTTGCGGCACGCCCGAGTACCTGGCCCCTGAGGTGTGTCCGGGCAGCCTCAGAGGCTTTTCTCTCCACGTGAGGGTGGGGACGTGCCAGGCGCCCTGTGACCCCCCCATCCCCCGTCCCCGACAGGTGTTGGAGGACAATGACTACGGGCGTGCTGTGGACTGGTGGGGACTGGGCGTGGTCATGTACGAGATGCTGTGCGGCCGGCTGCCCTTCTACAACCAGGACCACGAGAAGCTCTTCGAGCTCATCCTCATGGAGGAGATCCGCTTCCCGCGCACGCTCAGCCCCGAGGCCAAGTCCCTGCTCTCGGGGCTGCTCAAGAAGGACCCCAAGCAGCGGTGAGCCTTCCCTGCCACCAGGGCTGCCTGGCTGCTGATGTCCCGGCAGGACCCCACCCTGTGGAGGCTTGAGCAGCTGGCAGGCCCTTCCCATAGCTCCGTTTTCCTCCAGGCTCGGCGGGGGCGCCGAGGACGCCAAGGAGATCATGCAGCACCGCTTCTTCGCCAGCATCGTGTGGAAGGATGTGTACGAGAAGAAGGTACGTGGTGCATGGCCTCCAATCACACACTGCGCTCTTGGCTGCCGCTGTTCACTCACGCACGGACGCACAGCTGCACACAGAACGCACAGGTCTTGTGTTTGTAGGAGAGTCAGGGGTCCGCGCACTGGCCTCTTCTGGGGGGAGCAGGGCCTTGCAGAGCTGGGAGGCACTTGCAGGGCCCACCGGAACCCAGCCCTGCTCTACGCTGCCCTCGGCTCAGTTGGCAGCCTCCGGGATCGCTCCCACCAGCAGCTGCCCACAAGGCACGGGCCGAGACCCACTCACGCATTTCCCCGACCTCTGCGCAGTGGGCGTGTGCAGCCTCAGCCTTGTCCTCCTTCCTCCTGTCCCCTGCAGCTCAGCCCGCCCTTCAAGCCCCAGGTCACTTCGGAGACGGACACCCGCTATTTCGACGAGGAGTTCACGGCTCAAATGATCACCATCACGCCGCCTGACCAAGGTGAGGGTGGGGGCCGGGCAGAGATCATCCCTCCTCTCCCCCCAAGCTGTGTGGTCAGCGTCCCAGCGATTCCCACTGCCGTGTCCACCCTGGAGGACAGAGTAGAGCTGCCCCACTAGGTTTTGGAGACAAACCTGCCGGAAGCAGGCTGCCTCATCGGCTGCTGGGTTAGAACCGCAGACCTTTCCGTTAGCAGTCGAGCATTTTCCTCTGGTACGCCTTTTTTGGCGTCAGATGTTTGTAGGGTCAGACTTTCTGTAGGTGACAAGGTCACAGAGCCACCCCACCAGATCCCCAGGACCCCTCTAGAGGTCTGGAGGGCACCCTGTCCGGGTGGAGACTAGAACGTGGTTCTGGACTGATGCCGCTCTCTCCCACAGATGACAACATGGAGTGTGCGGACAGCGAGCGCAGACCCCACTTCCCTCAGTTCTCCTACTCGGCCAGCGGCACAGCCTGAGAGCGGCTCTGGTGACGCCTGGGCTGTGTCAGGAGCCTGGACGGCAGGCTCATCCGGGCGTTGGCCAATTGACGTGTATTTAATTTTATTTCTCGCGCATCTTCTCGAGCTGGTCGGAAGGACGTGGCCCTGCGGGTTTTCTTAATTTATTTCATCCAGGTTGCCCTCCACACGCGGCCTCGGCCCTCAGAACAGTTCGATGCACCGAGGACAACAGTCACGCAGGGGGCAGGGGCTGTGGGCGGTGGGCCTGCCTCCAACCTCGCCCTGGCTGTCTTGTCCTGGGTCCAGCGCCTTGCCCAGCGGGCACCAGCGGCTCCTCACTGTGGCCCCAGGCTCCCTGCACTTAGGCCACACCCCTTGGTGACAGTGACCTGCCCGGTAACAGAGGTTTAAATTCTCTGCTGTGGATCATGCTGTTAAATGCATTGGGGGTCTGTTTTTAACTTAGTGACAGGAATGGCCCCTGACCTCCACCCTCCTATGTTATGTCCAATCGACACCCCCTTCCCTCAGACACTGAGAGTCCCCTTGTAGCACTTGTCCTTCATAGAAGCTCTGTTTCCGCTGTATGCCCCCAGGCCCCGCTGGGCACAGCGCCCACCCTGACCCCAGGCCCAACCCCCTTCTGAAAGGGAGGGGGCCCCTGACCCTCCAGCACCCCAGTCGGCTGCTGCCGCTGCTCCCATGGCGTTTTTTTTACAACATCCAACTTTAGTATTTTTATTATAATATGAAGCTCTTCCTCCAAATTCTTCAATAAAAATGGCTTTTCAAGTTTGGGGCTGGTCTGGTCTGTTTGAGGCTCTGCTGCTCGCCCACGGTCCACCTCGATGGCTGGCGCTTTGTAGCAGGGCAGATGCTGAGGGCCTGCGTCCTTTGGTTCTGGGTCAGTTCTTCCCGTGGTCCACTGGGCTCATGGAAGGAGGATGATGTGTCTAGGCACCCCTGCCTTCACCTTGATGGAGGAGTTGCTTTCCTGATGACCAGTTTTGGGGTCCTCATGGAAACCAGGTCCCCCAAAGTCCCGTAGGCTTGGGGAGGTGCCTGGAAGGAAAGCGGTGCTCTATCAGCTCTTTTGTGAGCCGACAGCCCTCATGACACGATTTCAGGGGGGCCCGGTTCCTGAGGGAGGGGTCTTGTAAGCCTCCATGTTGACTGAGAGCATCTGCAAAGACCCTGTTTCTACACAAGGGCACGGTTCTGAGAGGTGATGCCATGTCGGCCCTTCCACCAGCCCACCTGGGCAGAGCAGGGGATACCTGGAGCCAAGGACAGTACCCCAGCCCACAGCCAGGCCCTCAGTGCGCCTGCTCAAGGTCACACAGCTGGAAGAGGACAGACAGACAGGGCCTGCGGGGTGGAGGGGTGACTCTTCCCTGAGGAAGCCCAGGTCCTGCTGAGAACCGGCTCTGAGGAGGACGTGGTGCTGGCGCCACCTGGTGGACGCTCACAGCACTGCACCCTGTGGCCTCCCACTGCTGTCCTAGACGCTGCGGGGAGCGGGGCAGCTGGAGGCCAGCCCCCTACAGGTGGGAACGGAGGGCCGTCCCCCAGACCTGGAAACACGTGAGGGGGCAGGAATAGGCCCCAGGTTCCAAGATGTCCCGGATGGTGAGGGGCAGCAGGGGCGGTGTGGCATTCTGGGCTGACTACGCTTTCCGGCGTCTGTGAGCTCCTCCCAGTAGGGACGCTGAGGCAGCTATGAGGACCCTCCACACTCGTTACATCGTGAGCAGAGCCTCAGAAACACGCAGCTCTGACACGTGAAAGGTGGAAAGGGGTCCACGTGGTTCTCCCCTCGCAGAGCATGTGCCTCCCTCACCCCCGTGGGACTGGCACAAATCCATCTCCTCGTCACCTTCACCCCTTCCCTCTGCAGCCGTTAGATCCACAGAGCGTTCCTTCCAAGATAGTTTCCACCTGAGACACTGCACTTTCATCTCTACAAGTTCCTTAACATGCTCCTGTTTCCTCTACCTTTTGAGCATACGGAATGTGTTTGTAATAGTTGTTTAATGTCCTTGTCCACTATTTCCACCACCTGTGGCATTTCTGGGTCTACTTCCATGAACTTGGTTTTCTTACTGTGGATTGCATCTCCTGTTTCTTTGTTGTCTGGTATATTTTTAATGGTGGGCCCATGTCATGTGTTAAAATTGTAAAAATGTAAGCTATCCATTGCCATCAAGTTGACTCTGATTCACAGTCACCCTATAGGGGTCCTAGTGGTGCTGTGGGACAAGCACCGGACTGTGGCCCCCAAAGTCAGTGGTTCAAATCCACCAGCTACTCAGAAAGCCTCTATAGGGTCGCTGTGAGTTGGAACCAACTTGACAATACTTCACGATGACAGATAACAGGGCTTCTGAGGCTGACATTTTTAGTTTGCCAGATCTTCCGTGGAGCAGGTGGTGGGTTCAAACCACCCCCTTGTTTGCAACCAAGTGCTTACCCACTATGCTACAAAGCCTCCATTTATACATAGCACATTGCCAATTCACCATTTGTCACGTGCATAACTAATCATCAGTCATGTTTCGCAACCACCACCCAGAACTGTTGCCAAGTTCTCCATCACCGTAAATAGAAATGCTGCTTCTAAATGACTCCTCTTCCGTCCCTCCAGCCCGGGTCACCACTAACACCGTGGTCTCTGCTCATTTCGGTTGTAGCATGTCGGGGCGTCACCTCTGTTGACAGGTGAGTCTGGAGGACAGTTGACCCATCTCTGGGCTGTAATCAGCACCTGGGGCACGGGGCCAATGCCCAGGAGTGGAAATGCTAGGTCAGTGTGCAGAGCTGTGACAAAGTACCTGGCTTTTCAGTGGCATCTGCTGACTCCTTTGCAGTCTCTCCAGAGGATTCCAATTTCGCCACATCCTCACCAACATGTGTTTTCCATTTTTTGTTTTGAATCTTAGCCATCCTAGTGGGCATGGAGTGTCGTTGTGACTGATTTATGCTGTGACGCTGTAGGATAGGCACTGGACTGTTAATACTAGATCAGCAGTTCAAATCCATCAGCCACACTCCTCAGAAACCCCGTACAGGGCTGCTGAATCCTGAGCCACACTCAATGGCATTTAACACCAGCAGCTTAGGGATGCTGGGGTGGCGCTGTAGGGTAATAGCAAGGTTGGCAGTTCAGACCCATCAGCCGCTCCTCAGGAACCCTATACAGGCTCGCTGAGTCAGAACCGACTCAACAACACTAACAACAGTAGCTGAGGATGCTTGAGCATCTTTTCATGGGTGTGTGTGTCTTCTTTATAAAATGTCTGTGTATTTTCCTTGTGAAATGTCTATTTGAGTCCTTTGCCCATTTTCTGATTGGATTATCTTTTTCTTGCGTCGTTTGTATTGGAGGCAAACCTTATCTTACTAGGTAGACTTAGGCTACCGACGCAGCCTGGTCTTGCTGATGCTGGAAGGAACGTGTCCTCACCCCGTCGCTGCTCTGTCCATGCAGGCTGTGGGGAAATACGACTTGCTCCGGTTCTGTCCTGCTGGTTCTCCTGCATGCAGGGGACAGTACTCAGCAGAGGCCAGGCAGGGATCCCTGCGGGAGTCTCCTGGTCAGTGTCCACTGTGCAAGTTCCGCGGGCTCCTCAGTTCAGCGAGACCAAGGGGCTCCACGTCACTACCCTGCCGTGGCCTGGCCACTCTTGCCCAAAGGCTCCCTGCGTAGGCTTCCTTCTCCTCAGACACGTCTCCGCACTGCCTGCCGTCTGCTCTAAACAGTGTGTCTAAGCAATCTCATCCTATCACGGCTGCTGCAGACACAGGGACCAGGAAGCCGCCCCTTCGTTATATGTGTTATGTCAGATGGCGAAGCCAGGTGTGGGAGAGGTGGTAGAGGAGGCGTGCTGTGCCCTGAGCATTTTGGGGGTGAACCATGGGCACAATGTGCACACTCTGTAAGCTTCCAGTCCCCCACCTGACCCAGCAGCACCTTCAGCACCACACATGCAGACGAGAGTCCTGTTGTCCAAATATAAAGAGTTTATTCAGTCTGCTGCTTGGAATACAAAATATAAACTATAAACCTCCACCCGCCCCACCCGCCCCTCCACTCCACGGTTCTTGAGTCTCAGCTCTATGTTGGTCAGTGCAGAGCCCACGGGTCCGGAGTGTCCTCAGGTTTCAAACATGGCGCAGTTGGTGCACAATGCCTTCTCGTGAACGTCGCTGTAGCTGTGGACAATGCAGGAGAGAAGCTGTAAGCCTCCCAGATATGCTGTGTCCCAGATGTGTCTACCTGGAGTCCTCCCTGGCAGGGGAAGTGCAGCGAACATGGCACTCTTCCAGGGTTTCAAGTCTAGGACACCCATTAACTTGGCGGAGGACCTCACCAAGACTGGAAGGATTTGAGATTGGGAATCGGCTGCCCTAAACCCAGGCGCAGGGCCCTGTGGGACCATCGTGTGGAGCCCCACTTCCTAAAGTCAGGAAGCTGAGGCCACTAGGAGGGGGCGGAAGAGTGTGACCTACACCAGACCACCCTGTGAACCAAGGGCAGTTGGGCATCCCTGGTCTCTCATGTGAGCACTGTGGGGAGTCTGGGGCATGTGCTCCCCAACCTCTGAGTGTGAGGGCTGCAGATCCCTTAGAAAAGTCAATTGGGAGAATGCAGAGCAGAGGTCCCAGCAACAGGAAGTCCTGTGAGGACCCAGGGCTCCTGGACATATGGGAACAGGGAGCAGGGTGGCCTCAACACTTGTCCAGCTCAGTGAGGGACAAGCAGGCAGGAAAGCCCCCTCCTCTCTGTTTACAAATCACCGCCCACTGGACAGCATGAGGTGAGCAGCCTGGGGCCTGGAGAGGGGACACAGTCAGCCTATGGTTTCTCCCCTTCACAGGTTTGGTGTGAGACCTGCCAGGACAAACAGCTGGCTGAAGACTCTGGTTGTAAAGGGCCCTCAGCTACTGCCAAGCGGGAGAACCGCCAAGTGCAGCGGTCACGCACGAGCACATGCTGGGCCTTAGGACCCAAGAGGAGATGGACCAGGCAAACACACGGCCTGTGGAGAAGGCTGAAGGCTCCACCAGCTACCACCCAGCAGCCCACGTCCCCACAAGAGCACGTAGAGGACCTCATGCGAGGTTCGGAAAGAAGTGAGCCAGGGAGTTCGCAGCTAGCTTCCTTCAGGAAGGACCCAGAGTTGTCAGAAACGGGGCAATAACTAGAACGGTCACTCTGGGCTGCTGGGCAAATCCCATCAGAGGCCACGTGGGCACCCAGGAGGCATATGGACTCACTCAATGGTGGAGCACAGGGCGCAGGCCACGGCGCCGCAGCCCCAGCAGGTACGCAGACACTGCCCACACAGGGGACGTTCACACTGGCTGCAGACTGCCTTCCCGTCCACGCTGCGGACACACGAGGAACAGGCCCTGGACGCTGCCTCCAACAGGTCTGTGAGGAAGAAAGACCACAGTCCATCAGCCCCCTTTCACCCACCCTCGCACCCTGACAGTGGTGGGCCTCACTTCTCAGCAGTGGCTGTGTTCTGGGGGTTCCACCAAGTCTGCACTGGATGCTCACAATACCCCTGGAGCTAAGCACGGCATACAGGACTCATCTCACGAGTGAGAGGGTCCAGCCGCTAGGTGGATCAGGACAAGAGTCTAGAGAGCCACGGGAGGACAGCAGAGGAACACCTGGGGCACCCAGCTCTCCTCGGGCCCCAGCAGAGCCAGCAGTGTGACTTCCTCCAATGTGGGGGCAGTGCAGACTTCCAGGGCGTGTCCAGCCCTGCCCCTGTGGGTGCTGGAGGAGACGGAGAAATGGAGCCCTGACCCCAGGGACCCACCCCACCCCCCAGCTGTACTCACCGACCCCAGAGGCCTGAGTGTGGCTCCTCAGCAAGCGGCCACCTGGTCCAATCAGCATTTGTCCTCGGACAGTCCCGGGGACACCCATGGGGCTGGGCTTTGGGGACTCAGGCTGGTGGATGAGGGTGCAGCTGTCTGACGCACCTTCATCCCATATGTGGTTCATGGAGGCCTGGGCACCTCGGAACAGGAGTTGCCTTGTCCTCTCTGCAGGAGATGGAGGGACAGTCCAGAGTCCACCACAATTAGCCATGGCCCTGTCCTCGGTGACCACACCACCGACACTGCACCTCCATCCCCACCCGAGACACAGGCTCCCCCCGACAATCACGGCTCACTCAAGGCACACAGCAGGCCTCACAGCTGCTCCTTCCTCAAGCCCCCCAAGAAGCAGCCCTTAAGCTCCAGCCAGTGTCCTAGCACCTGCCGCAGTGCGGGGACCACAGCACCGAGCAACAGACCTGCCCTGACCTGCAGGCTGCTGGGCTCCTGGACAGCCTGGCTGTCCCAGATGTGCTGATTTGGTTTCCTGCCTCACCCTGACAACCCCGTTATCCGGCAGCCATGGTCCCGATGGGCAGCTCAGTGTGTGTGTGTGGGGGGTGCTGATAGCCTGACCCAACCCAGCTCCACCGGGCTGAGGCCAAGCCTGTCTCTGGGCCTTGTGGGGACTTCAAACCCAGGTCTTGTGCTTGGCTCCTCCCTGCCACCCCAGGACCTTTGCAGCAGGGCCGACTGGGCGACTGCTTCAGAATGCCCCTTTGCTGACAGCCTGAAGCTTCGGAATACCCTAAGATCTAGAGGCGCACACGGGGGAGCTGTCTGGCAGCAAGTGGTCTTGGGCTGGGCTGCCAGTGGGTTTGGAAGCCAAGCAGCAAGAGAGGCGACTGGCTGCTGGACCTCGAGGACAGTGCCCTTTGCTAAGGCGGGGCTCCCTTCCAGACCCCAAAAGGACAAAACTCCAAAACCAAACCCACTGCCGTGGTGTCCATCCCAACTCCCAGCGGCCCTGTAGGACAAAGGTTTCTGTCCTATAGGATTTCGGACTGTCCACCAGGAGCGCACAGCTTTATCGTTCTCGCCGACCCTGCCCTGCAGTCAGCAGCGGGCACGTCCCCAGGGGCGCCCAGGGCTCCTCTCCAGCCTCCTGATAAAATTACCAGCAGCTGCTGCCCAGTCCACCCTGACTCCCAGCGGCCCAGTCGTCTGCACCACCAGCCCCACCCCCGAACGGCCGGGAGCTGAAGGGATCACTGCCCAGTGCCCGCCCCCGGTGTCACCCCCGGGCCGCCTGCGAGGTTCTCCCTGCCCGGCGTGCACGCCGCTCGTGTCCACCCGGCCGTCCGCTCACCGAAGACCTCGCGGGAGTAGCGCTCGCCGCACACGCCGCGGCTCAGCTCCTTCGGGCCCACGCGGACCTTGAGCTGCAGCGGTGCCGCGTCCCCGAAGGGACAACCCCGCTTGGGCATGGCTGCGGGCGGAGGACAACAAGACCGCCGGTGAGAGCCTCGGGGCTGACCCAAGACGTCATACCGCACGCCCATCTCAGGCCGAGGGTGGGGGCAGGGCTCGTGCGCGACGAGGCTCGGCATAGGCCAGGACGACAACAGGGGCGGGGCTCGTGCGCGACGCCCCACGGAATAGGCCTGAGCGAGGGCAGGGAGAGTGGCTCACTCAATGGTGGGCAGGAGTCGGCGACGCGGGAAAGTCCAGGGGCGAGGTCGAGTTAGCTTGGTATGGGATACGCTGCGGTGAGGTCGAGGGGCGGGACTAATATGCAGCACGGCGCGGGATAGGCCGGGGCGAGGTCAGAAGCTGGTTGGATGCGCCGGAGGTGGGACACAAGAAGAGCGGGATAGGCTGGACCAGGATGGGGGCGGGACTGTTCACGACGCGGTGCGGGATTGGTCTAGAGGGACTTGGGGGGCGGGACTCGGAGGCGCGGGAAAGGCCTGGTGTTGCGTCCTTAACAATCATCGCAACTGATCATACTTCCGCATTGATATGACCAAAGTTCGATAAAATTCATTTTCCTTTCATTTAGTTTTGGATCGTTCCAAGCACTCATCCGCTGTTGGACCACATTCCTCAGACAGGACGTGGGGACCCCGCACATTTTTCCTGCCTGTACCCTCCACCATTCTCAGATAACCTAGGCCGTTCGACAACCAAGACGGGAAAACAGCCTCCAGAAATCAGGATTAAACATGGGCCATTTACTGACTGAAATCTTGTGGCCACAATCCTGAGGAATGTGAAAACCTCTCCCCTTCTTGGTTGAGCAATTGTAAGGATGCACTGAACCTGCCCAGGGCTCAAGCTGAGCAGCCACATTCTAGGACATACCTTTCAGAAAGGCCACCCATGAAAATTCGTATATTAAGTGAACAGAAGTAAATACTGTTAACTGCTGGTACCTGGAGCCGATTGCAATCATTGTAGTGAGGCAAAGTATATGATACGCTGAATGAAGTTGATGATCTGCTCTACAAACCTTCACTCAATTCACAAACGTTTATTCTGTTTTTTAATCCGTATTTTATGGCACTTGCTATGAAGGAAGATCACCCATAAAAATTCTGTATTTTTACTTCCTTGTGAAATATTTTATAGGTCGGACTGGTTTACCCAGTGCCCCAGACGTAACTTTAAAGAACAAAACTACCAGAGACAGAGGAGAACGCCAGCCCTGGGAGGGGTTTGAACCTGGGTCCTGAATAACCGTGCATGCTGGACATACCATAATAAGTTCTCTCTGCTCCCACCAAACGCCTTTGCGATGGAATCCATCTTCAAAAAATGGTGCCACGCACCCAATTAGCATGGTTTCTCCTAAACAGGGCATTTCCCAGAAATCCCTTTGAATAAACATGGTATCTTTTTCCTTTTTAATCCCAGCAAAACCTTATGTTAGGGGAGACAGGGGCTAAGTGTTGCTTTAAGCCCTCCCTGTCTCTACTTGCAAGCCTCTTCCCTATAATAATCCTGTGCTTGTATGGAAACTGCCTGACCTGATTACTACTCATTAGAAGGCAAGAACCTCTCATGTAGGGCTGCTGTTGGCACGCTCTATAATACAAGCATGGTGCAGCCCACCACCATCTATTTCCAAGAAACCAGCCACTTAAGACCTGTGGAGCGCAGCTGTACTCTGGCACACGTGGGGTCGCTGTGAGTAGGGCTCAAGTCCACAGCACCTGGTTTTATTGTTAGAGTCCTTGGATAGTTGTAAGCAACTAAATGCATAGCTACTCCCTGAAAGGCTGACAGTTCAAATGCACTCGAGAGGCACCGTGGACGAAAGGACTGCAATCTAATCCCAAAAGGTCACGATCTTGAAAACCCAGGCATGCAATTCCGCTCTGAAACACATGGGGTCGCTGTGAGTCAGACCCCACTCCACCAAACTGCTTGGTTATAAATGTCTCACACATATCACACGATGTCTGATTGTCTTGTTCTTAGTGGGGTCACATGGGGGCAGCCAGAGCCGCCTTTGATAGGTTCATCCATCTTTCATCCATTGATGACTGTTGCCTGAATCTGTCATTTCATTACGGGTCTTTTAGATTTATCTTTCCTTCCACATGGATTAGTTATAACACAAAAGTGTGCTGTTGTGATCCATGAGGTTTTCATTGGCTCATTTTCAGAAGTAGATTGCCAGATCTTTCTTCCTAATCTTAGTCTGGGAGAACCTGTCCACCATGGGTAACCTTGCTGGTATTTGAAATACCGGTGACATGGCTTCAAGAATCATAGCAACATGCAGGCCACCACCGTGTAACAAACTGGCAGGTGGGGGTGGCTGTGAGGACTGGAAGGCTACTAACTATCAATGCTCATTAAAGCCGTTGTTGCGATTGTTCAGTTGTCAGTTGACACCAATTCATAGCGACCTTATGCATAACAGAAGGAAACACTCCCTGGTCCCCACCATCCTCACAATCATTCGGACACTTGAGCCCACTGTTGCGGCCACCGTGTCATTCCATCTTGTTGACCCCCCACTTTACCAAACATGATGTCCTTCACCAGGGACTGGCCCCTCCTGACAACATGTCCTAAGTATGAGAGACGAAGTCTGGTCATCCTGGCTTCTAAGGAGCATCTGGCTGCATTTCTTCCAACACAGATCTGTTTGTTCTTCTGGCAGCCCATGGTACTTTCAATATTCTCCTCCAACACCGTAACTCAAATGCATCAATCATTTTACAGTCTTCCTTATTCATTACCTAACTTTCATATGCATATGAGGTTATTGAAAATACCATGATTTGGGTCAGCATACCTTAGCCCTCAAACTGACATCTTTGCTCTTGAACAGTTTAAAGAGGTCTTGTGCAGCAGATTTGCCTAATGCAATATGTCATCGGTTGATTTCTTGACTTCTGCTTCCATGAGTGTTAATGGTTGATCCCAGGAAAATGAAGTCTTCAATGTTTTCTCCATTTATCTGGATGTCATTTATTGGTCCAGTGGTGAGGATTTTTGTCTTTACATTGAGATGCAACCCATACCAAAGGCTGTGGTCTTGGATCCTCACAGTATTTTAAGTCCTCTTTACTTCAGCAAGCAAGACTGTATCATCTGCATATCGCAAGTTACTAATGAGTCGTCCTGATGCCATTTTTTTCTTCATATAACGTAGCGTCTCAGCATACAGCTTGAATAAGTATGGTGAAAGAACACAACCCTGACACACATCTTTCCAAATTTTAAACCGTTCAGTGTTCCCTCGTTCTGTTTGATCAACTGCCTCTTGGTCTATGTACAAGTTCCTCATGAGCACAATTAAGTGTTCTGGAATACTCACTCTCTGAAATGTCCATAGCTTGTCATGATCCACACAATCGAAAGCCTTTGCATAGTCAATAAAGCACAGGTAAACATCTTTCTGATGTTCTCTGCTTTCAGCCAAGATCCATGTAACATCAGAATGATATCCTGTTTCACGTCCTCTTCTGAATCTGGCTTGAACAACTGGCAGTTTCCTGTCAATTTACCTTTTCAGCCGTTTTTGAATTAATTATCTTTACAAAATTTTACTAGAATGTGACGTTAATGATATTGTCCTATGATTTCTGCATTCATTTTAGGTCACCTGTCTTTGGAATGGGCACAAATAGGGATCTCTTCCAGTCGCTTGGCTAGATAGCTGTGTTCCAAATTCCTTGGCAGAGATGAATGAGTGTCTCCAGTGCCGCATCAGTTTGTTGAAAGATTTCCATTTGTATTCCACCAATTCTTGGAGCCTTGTTCTTTACCAACGCTTTTAGTGTACCTTGGGCTTTTTCCTTCATGGAAGCAGGAATCAAGAAATCAAATGATGTATTATTACATCAGGCAAATCTGCTGCACAAGACCTCTTTAAAGTGTTCAAGAACAAAGATGTCAGTTTGAGGACTAAGGTATGTCTGACCCAAGCCATGGTATTTTCAGTTACCTCATAGGCGTGTGAAAGTTGGACAGTAGATAAGGAAACCATTTGTATTACTGTGTTAGAGGAGAATCTTGAAAATACCATGGACTGTTAGAAGAACAAACAAATCTGTGTTGGAAGAAGTGCAGCCAGAGTGCTCCTTAGAAGCAAAATGGCGAGACTTTGTCTCTGGTACTTTGGACATGTGGTCAGCAGGGACCGGTCCCTGGAGAAGGACATTACGCTTGGTAAAGTGGAGGGTCAGCAAAAATGAGGAAGACCCCCAAGGAGATGGACTGGCCCAGTGGCAATGGGCTCAAACATAACAGTTGTGAGGCTGATCCTGGACCGGGCAGTGCTTCCGCGCGTCACACGGAACCGGGCAGTGCTTCCGCGTATCACACGGAACCGGGAATTGCTTCCGCATGTCACACCGGACGGGGTAGTGCTTCCGTGTGTCACACCGGACGGGGCAGTGCTTCCGTGTATTGGGCGTGGGGTTGCTGTGAGTTGGAACAGACTCTCAGGCACCACCACCAACAACAACATTAAATATCGATTTGAAAACCCTTTTGCAGCCTTCTGATGCAATGGTAGTCAGACTTGTCACTGTTTACGTAGAATGAAGTAATTTCCTTACGACATGTCTCCTGGGGTGGACTGTAAAAGCATGCTTCTCTTTCTCTAAGTCATCTGGAGAGGACATGTGCCAGTTCCCAGGAGCAGTGAGGGTCAGGAAGGGTGGAGATCCTCTTGCCTGGCTCCTTTCCTCAGTGGGCTCACCCCTGCCTTCCGGTCCTAAGCTTCATCCCTGACCCTCCTCCTCACCAGCCCTAACCCGAGCCAGGTATCCAATCACATGTTATGAGCTCAGTTGTGTTGGAACCCTAATCCCTAAACCTGTGGATATAATCTGGAAAGAGTTTTCTTGATTTTGTTAATTCTACTGATTAGCATTCTGGTGTGTGCTGTAGGTAAGCACCGGACTGCTAATCACAGGGTCAGTGGTTCAAACCCACCAGCTGCTTCTCAGAAACCTTATACCATGAGTTGGAACCGACTCCTCGGCATTTAACAACTACCGATTAATTAACTAGTCAATTAACTGATTAGCATGAGTAGGGTAGGTTCCAAGGAGCCACCTTGGTTGCTGATCCAAAGGTTGTCATTTCAAACCCCCCAGAGACTGTGGGAGAAAGATCTGGCCAGCTGCTTCCGGAAAGATCCCAGCCTACAAAATCCTACGGGGCAGTTCGGGATCACATGGGGTCAGTGGGCGTGGAAACCACAACACCCACAAGGTGGAGGCCAAGCCTGGTCACTTCTGAGATGCGAAGGAAGCAGATTAGCACTGACATCACGTTCAGGAGCCAAAAACCACCTTGGCAAAGGGCGGCCCTACAGCAGAGCAGAACTGTCCATTAGGGTTTCCAAGACTAAACGTTTGTGGGGCCAGTCTCATGTTTCTCCCTTGGAGGGACTGGTGGGGTTGAACTGCCAAGCTTGAGGTCAGCAGCCCAATGCTTAACCCACAGTGCCATGAGGGCTCTAGAACGGTGAGAAAACACTTTCTGTTCTTGAGAAAGCCCCCACTTGTGATATCACCGAAGACGAAGAAAACATTCAGAGCCAAATTTCAAACTCAGCAAGGCACTCGCCCAGCCCATGAATCAACCCCTAGTACCTACCACTGACTATGGAGTCCGTGGGTAGTCTGACGCACGCACATGGCTGTTGACCAAAAGGTTGGAGGGTCAAGTCCACTCAGAGGTGCTTCAGAAGAAAGGCAAGCAATCTACCTCTGAAGACTCAGCCGTTGGAAACGTAATGATGCACACGGGGTCACTGTGAGTTGGGACCCACCACAGCTACTAGCCCCCTCCTCCACCGCCTTTGGGAGAAGTGAGCTCAGACCTAGCTCTGGCCTCTCACCCCGTTTGCAGCAGTATCTGTTGACCTGGGTCACGTGGCTTCTTTAACATTGGTGGTGCCACACTTTCTTCCTCTGCGCTCCGCAGGGTGTTCATCAACAATAGCCGTTACGGAAGGAGATCACCAGACCTCTCTGGGTGGATTTGAACCTCGTGCTAGATAGTAAAACACCTTCCCCGAGAACTCTGCAGGCGGTTTCTGCCTGCTGGGAGTTGTGGTGGCCGGTGGGGTGGTCGGAAGACAGGAGACAGGCTGTCAGCTGTGGGCTCGGGCAGGGAAGGGTAGAGCTGTTTCAGAACTTGACATCCTGCCTTCTTCCAAATCATCGACCTGTTTCTGTCACGGTTGGCGGTGTGCCAGCGGAGTTCTGTGGAACCTCTCCACACTGCCACTTGAGTCAGCTTCTCCACGGGGTAGTGGGGATTATTCCACAGCCGGCAGGACTCACCGAGAGGGCCTCCTCCAGCAGAAGCATGCCTGGATTTAACCCCGCATCTCCTGGGTCTTCCCATGTAGATCTCTCCTCGCTGGGATGATAGTGACATGCAGTCATTAGTCCATTTATCCCAAACTCTGGCAAGTTGTGGAAAGAAGCAGGACTTGCCATTCCAGATAGGCTTGGGGGACTTTCTATCATAACAAAATACCACAACCCGGGTGGTTTCTAGACATGGTAAGTTCTGACTCTCTCACTGCAGGCTGAGAGTCAGAATTCTGGGTGGCCGCAGGTCCGTGTGCCCGGCTCTCAGTCTGTTCCACGGGGGGCACCTTCCTGGTCTCTTCCAGCTCCGGACACCTCCTTCCTTCTCCATCCCACTCGGGTATACCACCTCCATCTGTCAGTGTCTCCCACGTGCTGATCTCTTCCAGCTCCGGACACCTCCTTCCTTCTCCATCCCACTCGGGTATACCACCTCCATCTGTCAGTGTCTCCCACGTGCTGATCTCTTCCAGCTCCGGACACCTCCCTCCTTCTCTATCCCACTTGGGAATAGCACCCCTATCTGTCAGTGTCTCCTACGTGCTGGCTGGTGAGTTGGTGTGATGTTGGGCACTACACTGCCAGTGTTCAAATGCCAGCAGGGTCACCCATGGTGGACAGGTTTCAGGATTTCAGCAGAACTTTCAGACTAACAAAGACTAGGAAGACAGGACTGGCGATCTTTCCTGAAAATCAGCCAGTGAAATCCCTGTGTATCAATATACTGCAGGAAGAGTAGCCCCCTAAGGTGGGTTTCTGAGACTGTAAATTTTTACGAAGCAGACTGCCTCATCTTTATGGCATGGAGCAGCTGGTGGGCTTGAACCACTGACCTTGTGGTTAGCAGCCCCACGCTTAACCCACTATCCTAACAGGGCTCCCCTAGGTTAGAAGGCATTCAAAATGTAGAATAGCCACAAATACGGAGTTAAACACCCCAGCGATCCGAAGGCAGTGCAGGGCTCGGAGACATTTCATTTTGCTGTAAATGGGGTCCCCATGCCTTGGGGCTGGTCGGCTAGCAGCTCACAGCACCCTCGGCCTGGCGTAACCCCGACAGAGAGCAGCTTCAAACAGGCTCACGTTCACAGGAAGAGGGGCCACACATCTTTCCATCAGAGGCCCACACGCAGCAGGCGAAGGAACGCTGAGAAGAGGGTCTTTAGATGAGGTGAGGAGGGAGAAGGGCTTCACAGTCACAGAGAGGCCCACCTAGGTAACCTCTCTGCAGGGTGACTTGTCTGGGAGGTTCATTGCTGGAGATATTCTGTAAGCACCTGGTTTCTCCTCCACAACATTCTCCTGTTTTGCTTTAGCTAAGAGATGGAACAGCAACAAAATCCAACACACAGGGACCGCTGAGCACCTGCATCCCCAGAAGGCCATCACAGTGAAACAAAGTAGCAAAGACCACTCCCAAACAAGGCATGTTGGATTTGTTTATTACCACTGTGCCTCACACAACCATGAACTTGTCAGAAGAGGCCTCTGTTCTGAGCTACTTGGGCTCATTTTAAAAATCATTTTTAGAAACACATAGAAGGCGGGCTTTCAGATGTTTAAAATCAGCTGAAGGTTTCAGCATAAATACAAAAGTACAGAAAATAGTTCTTGTGTTTATCTGTTTACTGCATTCGTTTCGGCGGCCTGTAGGTCGGTGGCAGCTGGTCACTGAGGGGAAGGAGGTGCCGCTGTGGCCTCTTGGGGTCAGCTCAGTCTTCATTTAAAACAGTTGGATCATCGACTCTCTGGATTTGCCAACACCGATCCACTTGACTATAAAGGCAGATGGAGATGTTAGGATGCAGGGAGACTGAATATTTTTGTTAATTAACTCTATGGGTAACAGGACTCCTGGTGTGGCAATGGAGGGTAAGCACTGGACTTGGACTCACAGGATCAACAGTTCAAACCCACCAGCTGCTCCTCAGAAGCCCTGCACAGGGTCGCTATGAGTTGAAATCAACAACACAAGAGCGTGGATGATGTTGTTGTCAAGTGCCGTCGAGTCAGTTCTGACTCTTAGCACCATAGTGACCCTGTATGGGGGTCTCTGAGGAGAGGATGAAATACGAGGGGACTTCAAAAAGTTCATGGAAAAATTCCATTATCTTTTAATCCCAGATTTCCACAATTTTTTAAAGCCCCTTCGTATTAAAAGTCACACTTAAAAACAGACTATTTTTAGAGCACTTCCAGTGGTTGGCTGTACAAACCCACCAGCTACTCTAAGAGACAAAGAGGTCATCTGCTTCTGTTTGCATCTGCAAACCCTCTGGAGAAGTTCTCCTCTCTCCGACACGGTTGTTATGAGTCAGAACTGACTAGATCGCAGTAGCGTTTTTGTTTTGTTTTTTTGAGCACTTTTAGATGTACAAAAAATTTGTATAGAAAGTAGAGTTCCCATATCACCACACTCTCAGCTCTGCCCACTTTCTCATTGTTGAGGAGTCTGGTGGTGCCAACATAAAGATATTTGAGCCTGCCCAGAGGCATCTCAGAAGAAAGGTCTGGCAATCTACTTCCAGAAAGTCAGCCACTGGTACATACACAGGATCGCCATGAGTCACCGTGACCCCCACAGAAAATGCTTTTACAGCTTCTGTGCTGTTTTACTGGGAGTCTGGTACCCACCTGCCACCCCGACGTGGTTCTCCACAAACCGGATGTAGCTCTGGGCCTGGGCTGGGAGATCCTCCCACTTCCTGGCAGCTGTGGTGTCTGCCTTCCACCCTGGCAGGGTTTCATACTCCACCTCCACCTTCTGAAGGATTTCCTGGTTGGCTAGGGAGGAAGAACACAGGGGCGAGGGAGCCCCAATTTGTCTCATCACCCCAAACTCAGAGCTGGAGCTGGGGCCTAGAGGCCCAGGACTCTCAAAGAGATCTCAGCACTGAGCTGAGGGGCAGGGACAGTAAGTCCCTTTGTGGGGACACGTCCACCCTGACATGTATCCACCAGAACTTTCGCCACTGATGCCAGCCGAAGGCCCCCAAGAGCCCTGTTTAGAAATCCTGAGGGTCTTAAGCCATCTGTGTGAAGAACAAGGGGCCCCACCTCCTTCAACCCATCCTGAGAGCTCCTGAGGGCCCGGCCTATAAAGCAACTCCTCGGTTTCTCTTTGCCTTTGCAGGTTACCCAGAGGGCCCTGGGCAGACAGAACCCCACTTTTGCTGAGTCCAGAAGTCCTCCTAGGCCTCCCAAGGTCAGGGTCCAGTGGGCACTTCTGGGTCTAAATCGAATTTTCCCCGAAGAGGGGGCAGCAGGCAGTCAGCCCGAGGTCTAGAGAAGAGTCCAGCTAGACAAGGCTTGTGAAATCAAGACCGTGGTGTTTCCTTCATGCCTTGCGGAGCAGGAAGGCATGCAGACAGAAACCCCAGTGTGAGGTAAAGTAATCAGTCTGGAAGGTGTGTCTTCACTCACATTTATACAGATGGGGCTTTAGGCTTTTCGAGGATCCCAGGTGATTCAAACAGTGAATTGCTTGGCTGCTAACGGAAAGGTTGGAGGAATCCACCCAGAGACTAACTCGGATGAAAGGTCTGGCAAAAACTACTTATGAAAAATCAGCCTCGAAAACTCTATAGAGCGCAGGTCTACTCTGATACACAGGTACAAGTTACAATCAACTCAACAAAAGTGTTCGGCTTTTTTTAGACTTTCCAAAACTGCTCCACACCTAACTTAGGTGAGCTTGCCCGATTCCCAGGAGGTGGACTTTTTACCCTGAGGTAGCTGAGCATCTCCCGGGGCTCCGGGATAGGACCCAGGCTGGTACCTCTGAGTCCGTCCCAACCTACAGCCCTGAGTCCCTTGGTGGCCTTGGAGTCAGCTCAGCTCACAAGCTGCCTGTTGAACTTGAAAGCTACCCCTGGTCTCAGAAACCACACTTTCTGTGGCATCCAGAGTAGCTGCCCCACAGATGGGACAACCATGTACCTGGGAAATATGGGATCCGCTTCCCATTCAGCTTGTAGGAGACGCCGACCTTGATCTCATCCAGTGCGTCCAGGATGTCCAGTTTGGTCAGCGCTAGCCTGTTCAGCAACAGAGACTGATAAGAGCCGGAGGCAAGCCCACCAGCACCAGGATGTCCCCTGCGAGTTTCCCCTTCCTCTTCCTGTCTGAATGCAGGGAGCTGAGTGTGAGGCTGTAGATCTGGGCCCAGGCACAGCGGCAGGTCTAGGCCAGGGCAGACAGAACACGGGTGCAAGCAGCAGTGTCTATTGGCCATCGCGTAGATGACGCAGCAAGCTAGAACGTACTATCACGGACGCTCCCTTCTGTTCAGACACCTCCGCCTAAACAGTCATGCGCCGTGCGTCCATGCCCCTCCGCTCCGACGCCTAGTCGCGCCCCCTGTCCCAGACGTGTAACTGTGCCCCCTGACGGCTCGGCCGACTGCACAGCGTGGAGCCAGTCTCGTGTAGGAACCTCGAGGACTCCAGGTCTGCGTGCGCTTACGCGGTGAAGCCATTGATCATGTGGGCGTATCTGAGGATGACCAGGTCCAGCCAGCCACAGCGCCGCTTCCTGCCCGTGGTCACGCCCCACTCGTGCCCGCGATTCTGCAGCAGTTCTCCGATCTCCTGGGGAGGACCGAGTGGTGGTCAGTGGTCAGTGGCCAGGTGCCAAGATCCAGGCATGGCTCTCCTGTTGGGGCTGTCCTCAGGCCACTTTTCCGGCCATGCTTCTGTCCCTGTGTCATGGCAGCTGTACCAACAGCTCCAGCTCTGATCTGCTGGCAGAGACTAGGCTTTGTGGGGGGTACAGGGCAGCCTCCCAGTCCTGAATCGCTCACACCCAGGTGGGGACACTGGGATGCACCTGTCCAAGCCCTTCCTGCTCAAACGGGCGGCAGACTTCATCCTCCCTCCCCTACTCTGTTCTCATACACACTTGCTGCTTCGGGTCCTGTCTCCCCATCACAGGCGGGTGGCCTGAGGGTTCTGGGGCGGCAGCTTCCAGAAACCCTGGTCAGCAGGTGGCATACCTGATGCACTGAGAGGCTCCTGAGGCTCAGTGATGGGTTCTAAGAGTGGACTAGGGTGCTATGTGCAGGAGAAAGAGGAGGCTTTCTGCTTCCGTAAAGATTTTCAGCCTCGGAAACCCTGTTCAGGGTTGCTATGGGTCGGAACCAACTTGACGGCACATAACAACAACAGGGTACTATGTTTCTGCACACAGTTCCCTGGGGGCAGGAGTGGAACGTACACACGTGTGTACCTACACATACACAAGCATCTGCAAACACACACTTGCACAAGGCACACGAGCACACACCAAGCACGTGCACACTCACACAACACCCATGCCCACACGTACACACTACACACACGTACACACTTAGACTCACATGCACACTACATGTACATTCACAACACACATACTCCCTAGTTGGAAAACAGTAGCCACTGTATTAGACTCACTTCACCCCATGAGCCTGGAAGGCTCTGCCAGAGGTGGAAACGTGAGCCCACGTGTTAAAGTCCCAGGCCTGGTCTGCGGCTGATTTTGTCCGTGGGCTGTTTGTTCCCCTACCCCTGAAGGGACAGACACTCACGTTGATCTGCTCAGTGGGGAAGGCACCGATGCCCACTCGAGTGGTGTATGCTTTTACCACACCATAGACCTCACCGATGTTCTGTGGGGGCACGCCCAGGCCTGTGCACACGCCCCCGACGGTGCAATTGGAAGATGTTACAAATGGGTAGGTCCCTGCAAGACAAGCCAGTTGAAGGAGCTCCTTCAGCAAAGGTCAGTGGCAGCCCCTTCCCCACACCCACACATCCTTGCATGATCCGAGGGACAGCCTCAGGGAGGGGTCCACATGGCGCTCTGGGGGCTGGCCGCTGAGGCTCATGTAGAAATAAGCGAGGGGAAATGGAAGGTTGCTTCTGGCTTGAATGACAGGCGCCCTCCCTGCTGGCTCCCAGCCTCCTCAGTGATGAGGCCTGGGACCTCAGAAGCCTGTTTGAACCAGCTTGACTGACTACCAACCCCTTGGATGGTCCCGTGCCCTCTGTGCCGTCTCCACATGCACACAGGTACCGTGAGCTGGGATGCCGTCCCCACCACGCCCACATTTAACCTGGATCTGGCTCTCTGCAGCCAGTCTACCTGCCCTGGAAACACGTGCCCCAGACGCACCAAAGTCAATGTCCAGGAGCGCTGCGTTGGCTCCTTCCACGAGGATCTTCTTCGGGGAGCCATGGAGAGCCTCATACATGAAATATACCCCGTCGCGCACCATGGGCCGGATCCGCTCTGCGAAGCCCTACAGGAAGGCATCGGTGAGAACCCCCAGTCAGCCTTCCAGAAGCTTTCTTCCCTTCCACTATCTCCTGCCCAGACTCAAGCACTGGTGACCTCAGATAAACAGCTGCCTCCCCCAGGGTCTTTCTCTTGGGGCGCTGATCTGATTGGGCATAATGTTCTATGAGTAGTCACGGGACAGTTTGTGGTCATGTCTGGGATATGGGTCCACCTGTGTTTTGAGAACAAGGACCTCTGTGAGTGGAATGTGTTCCATGTGCGGGCTCGCCTCGCTCCACCCAGCAGGTGTGTCCTGCTTCTGTGGGCAGGACAGAGGCATTCCGGTCTCAGGAATGAGGAGGTGGACACCCTCCTGAAGGTCTCTGTGTTGCCCTCATCCCTGCCTTCCGTGGGGTACACTACAAAGCCAGGATCCGCACCTGCACTTCTTTGCTGCAGGTGGGGAAGGGGGTCTCTCCCCGAGTCTCCTGGGCAGTTGTTCCCAGAGAGGAAGTGAAGGCTGTGCACGGACACCAGGTAAGTGATCCTACCTGTTGCCCGGCCTTCTGAGAAGACCGCCTGGCCATTGCTGTCTCAGGACAAGGAATCTTGTCCTCAATGAAGCCAAAAAGACCCAACCAAACCACTCATTATTGGGGTGATTCCAACTCATGGATACTCCATGTGTACCACAGTAGAACTGGGCTCCACAGGGTCTGGTGTATTCGATTAGCAGCCACATGCATGCACCATTTGCATGACCCAGGGTCCCCGAAGGAGGCCACACACCCATACTAGTGCTTTCCTAACAATCCTCAGATGAGACATCGGCCTGGGGGAGGTCCCGGCCACCCTCAGATGCCGCCACACCATCTTACCTTGAGCCGTTTCAGCTGGCCTTCCACGTCAATGTCCAGTGTGGGGAACATGGACTGGTGTTGACGGGCCAGGATTTTGAATCTGTGGACGTGGTCGTTAATTCGTCCCCTGTGGTTCATATTGGAACCCGTCCCCCCGGGTCCCTGAGAGGCGTCCCCTCACGGCATCCTCCCACATCCCCCAACGATCAGGATGGTTCTGGGCACCTGGCAGAGAACTCATCAAAATCTGAGAGGAGGTCGCAAATCCGCAGGCCAGTCCGGGCTGCTTTGGAGGAGTAGGTTGGGCCGATCCCCTTTTTGGTGGTCCCGATGCTGAAATCATAGTGCAGGGTCCCTGAAGACTAGGAGTGCCCCAGCCCCATCCGGGCCTCTTCCCCTCAGGCCTGGGTCTCCAAGCCCACAGATAAGGGCCCCTCTGGGTGACCACGAAGGCCCCTTCCCGGCAGCGGATCCAGGGCTCAGGGAGACCCAGGCCAATAGAACTCTATGAAACAGTCTATTTTGACCTGAGTGAGTTTTGGCCACCTGGAGTTGGGGCTAGGATGGGCCTTGGACCGGCTACTCTCCCTCTCCTATAGACCTAGCTGCCTCCTACCTTGCCACCCAACACCCCCCCCATTGTCCTGCAGACTAGCTCTGGGGGTGTGGCTAAGCCATCACTGTGACAGCTGTCCCCACAAGACCTGTCCCCAAGCTCGGGGGCACCAAGATGTTCACCAGGGCCACCTGCTGTGGCTGTGTGCACCTGTGTGAACACCTGTGTGAGAGTATGTGCATATATGTGCACACAAGTGCTGCAGGTGTGTTGTATGAGTGTATACGTGTGTGCACACGAGTGCTACCGTGTGTTGTATGAGTGTACGTGTGCAGGTATATTTGCACACATGTGTATTATGCACACATACACATGTATGCATGTATGTGTGCACACCTGTTGCATACATTCATGTGCATGTCACACTCATGTGTACAGAAGCACACACATTTGTGGGCATGTGCACATGTTCACATGGCCACACCCACACATGCAAGAGTGTTTGCATACATGTGAGCTGTGCATGTATATGTGTTCACATGACCATGCACACACGTGAGTGTATCTGCATATACCTATGTGTACACATGAGTGTGCACCAGCTAGTGTACATGCGTGCACAGGTGAGCTGTGCATGTATACATGTTCACATGACCATGCTCACATGTGAGTGTATCTGCATATACTGTGTATACATGTGAAAGTGTGCACCAGCAAGTATGCACATGTGCACACGTGTTGGCATGTACATGCCTGCATGAGTTTGGAGGTTTGTGAGTATATTGACATGAGCGTATGTGTGTGGTGGCTTCCAGGGGGATGAGGTGGGCAAGTCAGGCCCGGACGCATCTACTACTGCCTCCTCCTCTGCCTCCCTTTCCTGTGGGGTCCCGGTCTGCAGGGCTGCTCTGGGGCCTTCAAGGGTCCCCTCTGAAGGGTGGGGCAGGAGTTTTCAGGGCATTCTGTCTCTTTCTGATTCTACAGGACTGGTGTGTCATATGCTGCTGTGGCCTGTCACCTTCCATAGTGGTATCTGGCCACTTAGTGTGGCGCATGCCCCACACCCTGGCCATGACCCCTTCCTGAGCCTTCCCATGTGCTCCTCGGAGCAGGAAGCTGGCTGTGCAGGGGGTGGATGGATGAGTGTGTGGCCGGGGCAGGGTGGGCCTCCTCTTCCTCAGCCATACTATGGCGGGGCTCGTGTGTATGCGTGGTCCAGGTTTGCCCGGAGTTCTGGTGGTGGGACCAGTGCTCCAGGGTACAGCGCTCCCCTGCCCAGGGCGGGACCTGAGCCGTGGGGCCTGGACGCTGGTCAGGTGATGGTGTCCTTACTTCTTTCCCTCCTGTGCCTGCCGCTGGACTTCCTGCAGCCCGTCCACCGCCTGGTGGAAGTCAAACACTGTGGGGCCGAGAGAGAGGACAGCAGTCACACAGTGACCACACCACAGACTGGGAGGATGGAGCCAGCCACCCCCAAGCAGACCTACCAAGGTGGGCTCGGTCCGAGATGATGAGCCTCTTCTCCCAGTCCTTGAGACCTGTGGGGACATGGTGAGGGACACCAGCTGTCTCCACTCTCACACAGGCCAGGCAGGGGCCGAGAGAGGACCCTTCACCCCCAGCACGCAGTCCTCCCCTTGTCCCTCTGTCCCCCTGCAGAGGAGGCTCCTGGCCAGGATGGGACAGACCCTCCCATGTCTCAGTTAATCCCTTCCCCGAGACCATCCCTTAGCCCTGCCCTGGTCCCTGCATGCTGGCCTCTGCTGTTACCCTGGAAGCTGGAGTTGGTAAGAGGCCTGGATGTCCCGCTTGGCTTTGGTCACTCTGATGGTGACCATACATGAGGGCCCACCGTTATGCTCCTGATGCTTACTGTTCCCGGGAGTGGATGCTGATCTGTCTTCTCCTAGTGGCTCGAGTCTGGACTGCTCTGTAGCCCGAGACCATGGCTCTGGTTCTCCCCAGGCCCCCAGCACTGTGGGCCTGTCTTGTCCTGCTTCCTGGTGAGGGTATCTGGTACCCCACCTACCTCTTCTTTCCTGGCTAGCTGCCACCCTCCCATCCTGACGTGCCCCCTTGACCAGATTCTTTCCAGGGGCATGGTCTGCCCAGCACGTCCAACCTGGGCTGGACATCGGGGTTCCTGGAGTTTCATCTCAACACCAGTTTCTGGGGCTCTCTCTGAATGGTCACTCCTGAGACCTGCGGCAGGGAGGGGACCTGCAGGCACAGCCAGGGACCACGTGGGACAGCACAAGTCTGCAGCCCAGTCTTACCTTTCTTCTCATTTTTTTCTGCTTCTTCAAACAAGCCAGGTAAGTGGATGACCACCCCGTTGCCTATAACGCATGGGCACAAGAGACCGGCTGTCACCAAGCATGTTTGAAAACATCTACAGGGGAGGGGTGGCTTGGGGTTCACTGGGCACTTTTAGGGCAGTGGAGCTGCCCTGCTCGATGTTGTTATGACACTGAGCATTTGTCAAAACCCACAAACATTACAGAGTGTAATGCTAATGTGGCAATACTGGAGTAACAATTTCACGCGCCATGGAGCCTGTCCCAAGGCATGGCGGCTGTGTGTGTCAGCGACAAACTGTGCTCCACGGGGTTTTCAATGGCTGACTTTCTAGAACTAGGTCTTTCTTCCAAGGTGCCTCTGGATGAGGTCCAACCCCCAACCTTTCAGTTAGGAGCTGACCGTTTGTACTCCCAGGGTCTCCAGTGTAATTGATGGACTTTAGTTAACAGTGATGTTATCAGTAGCAGTTCACCAATTGTAACAATCACACCTTTACGGAATGTAACGGCAGGAGAGCAGCGTGCAGACTCATAGGAGAACTCACCCTCCTTTCTGCACAATTTCTCTATAACCCCAAAAACAGCTCTCAAAAAGGAAGTCTGCTAAGAGCAAGCAAACAAATGCAAATGCAGAATTACAGGCATTTGGAGTGGCTGAGATGAGGCAGCCTTTGGGGAGCTGAGAGTGTTCTAAACCTGCATGAGGCAGCAGTGATGCACTAGATAGATCGTGTGGTATGGAAGCAATCCCGTTTTACTGGCACAGTCCCGGCTGGTGGAAACGGTCCATGTGCTCAGTCACTAACTGAATGCTGGCAACCTGAAGGTGCCTTGGAAGAACGGTCTGGCAGTCTCCTTCTGGAAAATCAGTCACTGACGACCCTATGGAGCGTGTTCTACTCTGACACATATGGCGTCCTCACAAGATTCAACTAAACGGTATCTGTGTTTAAAAACTTGAAAGGAGGCATGGAGAAATACTGGAGAAATATGGTTCCCAGCACTAGTCCTGCTTACAGGGGGCTTCCCGTTCACAGACAGCTGAAGCCCCCCATAGATGCCCTCCACAAGGGACACTGAGGGCAGAGCGGACGCATGCCCTGACCGTCCCAGCCTGTGAGTGACCTGTGAGCTCAGGACAGGAGCAGGGCCAGCTTAGCTCTGCCATCGCCAAGAAACCCCTCTCCCCACACCCTTCCCTGGGACCTGGGGTGTCGCTACAGACGGAACGTCTCTGCCCAAACCACATGGACCACAAAAGGTCACTAAATGCCACGCGTCCTGAAATAACCAGTGAGGCCCAGGAGGTTTCGCAAGCCCGGGGCAGCTGCGTGGGCTCGGGCATGTCTGCCTCCTGCCAAGTGGGCTGTTTTTGGGGTGCCATTAGGTGTGCTGACGCAGTGCCGACCCTCTGCTGTGCTCCCTGGTGACTCCCCTGGCCCTCAGCTCCTTGGACATTGGCAGTGTCTTCCCACCGGGCTGGGTGGCAGGAGGAGGCAGGGAGCCACGGTCAGTAGCAGCTCCAGATGGGGGACGGGAACTCAAGGCACAATGCAGACCGCCTTCCCTCAGTGACACTGATGGGGTGGGAAGGGCTCAGCCACCTCTGTCTGGTTCCCACCTTAGCTGGCCCCTCCCGGCCTTTGCTCATGTTTAAGGGGCCTGTGCCACCCAAGGGGTGCAAACGGGGGCCAGTGAGCCAGAAACAGAAGCAGCCTCTACTTCCTGTTCAGTGGGAAGGCTTTGTGTGCAAAGTGGCGGAAGGACAGAACCTAGAGTTTGGGGGCTGGAAAAGTGTCTCTGAGCTAGGATACTGGGCTGAGCATTGAGCCCTGGGTGGGAAGGGGCGCTGAGACTCTGGCAGAGGACATTGGGCCCCAAGGGTACTAGAGGGGGGCCAGAGACAAGGCGCCTGCTGGAAAACAGGAGAGGGATGGGAGCCTGGGCCGTGGCCTGAAGGCTGCAGCGGCTCTCCACACAAACTTGAACCCCACACTGCAGAAGACGGGGCTCCTCATGTCCCTGCACACACCCTGACACGCACATACATACATGCAGGCTCACTCACACACGTGCATACCTATACACATGCAACACACACCCACCCATGCAATACACACCACTCATACACCCACTCACACATGCAACACACATGCACAACCCACCCCACACTCACATGCCCACTCACACACCCATGCAATGCACACCACACTCATGCCCACTCAAACGTGCAACACATGCACCCATGCAATGCAACCACACTCACACATGCACACACACACAACCCACCCTACACTCACATGGTCACTCACACGACACATGTGCATACTTACACACACACAACATATTTGTACCCCCACACTCACGTGCTCACTCACATGTGCACACACACAAATACACATGCAACACACTTGTACCGCACACTGACATCCATACTCACACATGTACATGTATACCCACTCACATATGATTCACACCGGCAAGCATGCATACATGCACATTTCCCCACATGCCTACCTGCAGGGGCACCCATTTACTTACACACATGCACGTTCATTACACACATGTGCACACACACACACTCACTCAGAAAGGTTAAACACTCTTGCACTCTCTCACCTCTGGCCCTGAACTCTGCATCCCCCACCTCCCCCCCAGTTCTGAGGCCAGGTTCCCCCTCTGTCTGTCCCCTGATGCAGGACTGGCACCTGTGGCAGTGCTGGGGTGTGTGTGGGGGGCAGGGCTCCTCTCTGCTCTCTGCTGGTGTCCTGGGCCTTTCCTGCCATGGTGGGGGTGGGGGCACTCACCAATGAAGGACACAGCCTTGCTGTTGATGATGCCACTGGGCAGCAGGTGGAAGTCGTACTCCTTGCCGTCCACCACCACAGTGTGGCCCGCGTTGTTGCCACCCTGGAGAGAGGGATACTGAGCTCCAGGGCCTAGGGCTACCTAGTGCCCAGTCACCCCCAGGGGCCACTTCAACACAGAGGCTCGGGGGCAGGGCCTGTCCCCATGGGCAGGTGAGACTCTATGCATTGGTTTAGCCGGCAGACTCATGGCTGTCTGGAATGTCTGGGTTAGGTGACAGAGAGAGGGTCAGGCCCTGGCTGCCCTCGCTGGGAGCCATTCAGGGGAGCACAGGGGACCCCACTCAGAGCCTGCCCTCCTGTGGGGGGCTGCCTTCTCTGATGCAGAAAGGGGTGACCAGACTTCCAGGCAGTCCATGCCTACAAGGCTCCACACAGCCCAGCACACTTCATGGCAGTCAGGATCCAAGTGTGGGTCAGGCAGCCCTGCCCCTCTGCAGGGTGGGGGTGTGCACCCAGCAAAGCCAGGGACCCCTCCCACTGGACCCACCGTCCAGCTCAGAATTAAGATGAAGGCAATTGAGAGGGAGCTGTGCTCCGGAGTTACCTCCTGCCTTTTCTGCACCCATGCTGGCCTTAGCTGACCACCGGGCCCAGCAAACCCAGTGCTGCTCGGGGTGGAGGGGAGGGAGTCCTAGGCCAGGAAGGGCAGTTCCAGCCCCTGTTCTACCACTGACCAGCACATGACCACGAGCTGCTCCCTCACCCTGGACCTGTGCTCTTAGCACCCCAAAACCCCAAATTCATGAAGATTCTGTCTCGTAGTGACCCCTCAGGGTCTCTGGGACTACATCTTTATGAGAACACACAGCCTCATTTGCTTCCCTTAGAGCGGCTGGTGGGTTTGAACCACGGACCTTCCTGCTATTTGCCCAATGCTTAACTCACAGCACCACCAAGATTCCTGTTAGCACAGAGGGTCATAATGCTGCCCCCCCCCACCTAGCAGGAGGTCAGAGGGTCAGAGTAGGGGGTCCCAGGGGTCAGGAGAGCCCTCTGCCCTTCGCCCCCCTCCCCTCAGGGAGACTCAGTGTTCAGAGGCTCCCTGTTCACCTCTGCTCTTGGCACAGGCAGGCGGGCCTGGGGCGGAAGGCCGTAGAGGAGATGGGGACATGCAGGTTGAAGGGACAGTGCTCATGGACACCTGTCGGTTGGGTGGACAGCTACAGAGGAGAACCGGTCACCCCACCCCCGATGCCAGTCAGGCTGTAGTGGGGGCTCTGGGGGGGTGTCTTCAGGATGGCAGGAATGTCCAGACCCGAGATGCGTGGACCTAACCCCACCCAACTTCCCAACAAAGGAGGGCTCAGCAGTCAGACTCCCCCGGCCCAGTCCCCTCCTTCCTGCCCTGTTCAGCGTGAGGCCATGCAGCCTGAGGCCAAGGGAGGGACACGCCCACACCCACAGAGTGGACTAGTCCACAGCCCTCAGCATGCCCACTCTGTCCCCAGGGTCCCTGGATAAGGAGCCTGGAGTCCAGCTCCACCCTAATCTCCCAGCTCAAGAGCCGCCTCCCACAGAACGTGCTGTTCTAAAATATGCTGGACAGCCCTCCGGATGCCTCCCGAGCCTGTCTGGTGCCCCCAACAGACAGGCAGGTCCCGCATGACCCAGTGACTCCTCCCCCCCAGCAGGAACACCCCTCCCTCACACTTTGTAGACAAAGCTGCAGTCTGGACAGGCAGAGAGGGCAGAGGGCACCAGGACCTCACCCATCAGTGAAGTGAGAAGTGGGCATGCAGCCCCCAGACCCGCTGCTCTCGACAGCCCATTGGTCCTTGTCTGGCTGCTGCAGCTTTCCCAGGCACCTGAAAGGACCTGCCCCACAACATGGTCCCCACACCTTTAAAGGCTTGCAGGTCTGGTCTGGGTGCCACCAGGGCCTGACTCCTGGACAGCCTGTCAAAGCCACACGAGGGCCCTCAACTTTCCGTCTCTGATCACCCTCACTGACCAGCAGGCCACCTGCTGCCGGGGATCCAGGTGTGGAACAGGGGCGGCTCCAGAGGGTAATCGGTGCCCACCCCTCAGACCTGTGTTCTTCCCCATAGATGTGAGTCTGGAGGGGTGACCACTGGACAACAAGCAGGACACACTGAGATGCATCCCAAGGGCAGGCCCTCCCTCTCCCCGGCCAAGGTTGCCGAGGGGTCTGCCATGGGCAGGAGACAAGGGGCCTGGTGGGGCTAGCCTGGGGAAGGGCCATGCGGTGTGAAATGGACAGCCGACTGGCCGTGAGGGCACATCACCCGGCTTCCTATCAGAAGAGCCGGGGTCTTCCAGTAGGTTCTGAGTCTGGCCCCCGGGAGTCTTGCTTGGATAGTGGGTTCTAGAGAACCCACGCGTGGCTCTGTGGGACCAGGTTTTGGGGGCCACATGAGTGCAGACCTGCTCTCCTTGCTGAACCTCCACGTGGTAACCGCCCAGTACTGAGAGGTTATAGCCCTCCCTTACAGACCCTTGTTTCTCACAACCCTGGAGGTGTGGGAAACGTTTACAGGTGGGGAAACAGGTCCCAAGGGAAGTGATGTTTGCAGCAGAGCTGAGACTAGAACTCGGGTTGTCTGCCTCCAAGGGTCTCAGACTGAAGACTCCCCCAGAGGTCCATGGACCAATGGCGAATCCTGCTTGCAGCAGGGAGGGGCCAGATGGGACAGACAGAACAGGGACATAGTACAGACAGAGCTCAGACAGTCAGACCTGATGGAGCCAGACGGAGCCAGGCTGCCCACCATGTGCTGGTGTCCCATGGACCCAGCCAAGCTGGCAGTGGTCCACAACGCCAAGCACACAGCCTTTGTTGGGGGTAAACACAGGCTCCTAGGAGCAGGTGGAGGCTGGAGTGGGCTGTGGGATCAGATGACCTGAGAACTAGCACTAGTGGCAGGGCCCAGGAGTCAGGTGGGGACACTGCCAGCTGGACACACAGCCAGCCCAGGATACTAAGGCCAGGACCTGCCTCCTGGGGCTGCCCAGCCTCCCAGAGTGGTGTCCAGGGGAGATCCAGCCTCGGGGGCTGAAGAGGAGGCCAGGGGCCTTGTCAGGCTTCCTATGGGTCCACAGAGAGCAATGGACACAATGCATGTCTTCAACCCAGGAAGAGTTGCACCCTGGTTTGGAGGACGGAGGCTGGGAAGCCCTCTAGACACCCAGGGCCTTCCTGCTCTCCCTGGTCCCACTGTGCAGCTGGAGAGCTTGTCACCCCCAATGTCCATGCCAACATCTGCAGGCCTGTGTGGCACTGACCCCTGCCCCTGGACTGTCTGCTGGCCCCCAGCACCTTGAATCAGCCTACGAAACTGTCCTTCAGAACAGACCTTGGCTCTAGCAGCCGAGCCCAGGGACCCTGTGTGTAGAGTGCATGCAAATGTGCACACGTGTATGTACACACATATATG